AGGGTCTCCCTGCAGCCCCAGCTGTCCTGGAACTCACTATATAGACCAGACCAGCCTTGAACTCACAGAGAGCCGCCTGCCTCTGCCTCCCAAGTGCTGGGACTAAAGGTGTGCGCCACCACGCTCAACCAATATATATAATTTTTGTATATGAAAAATGACTGACCATCAGCAGTCCCATGTAATTCATCCTAGTACATCTACTAAAGATTTTTATTATGAGCCAGATGTGGTGACTCAGGCCTATAATCCCAGCACTTGGTAGGTAGAGGCAAGAGGGTCTGAAGTCCTTGGTTATCTTTGGCTACATAGCAAGGTCAAGGTCAGCCTGGGCTACATGAGACCCTATCTCAAAAAGCCCCCAACCCCAAATCCCTAAGGTCCAAGCTAAGATGAGAAGATGAATGGTTGGCATTAAGCAGTGCTTATGAAAATGCCTGTTAACCCTGAAAGATACAGGTGAAAAGGTAAAGGTAGACAACAGATGAAAAAGATACAATAGGAAGATAAATTAAAGGAAAACAGGACTACTCTATGTTGAGAAGACTGGGAAATAGACTCAGCTCGTTACTTTCTAAATTTTAAATATATAGTTAACCAGCCTTCTTGGTGTCTTTCAGAATCATAGCATTCAGCCGGCCTGTGAGATATGAAGATGTGGAGCACAAGGTGACAACAGTATTTGGGCAGCCTCTTGATTTACATTATATGAATAATGAGGTGAGAAAAATGGATGGGAACACCAAAAGGGACAGTGGTGTGCATTTTTCGCTCTTCTTAACTGATTATTTTTAGTTTGTTTCTTTAATATCATCTGCAGGTTTTTATTTTCTGGAGCCTCTTGTTAATTGCAACAGCTCTGCAATTTCTATTTTTTTCTACATGAGAAATTATATCCTCTTACTAATTTAGTACAAGAACATTGAATATTCCATGGTGGGATAAGATATGGTACCAGGGCTGGAGATGGCTCAGTGATTAAGAGCACTGGCTGCTCTTGCAGAAGACCTCCCAGCACCCACATGGGATCTGTATAGCTCTAGTTCCAGGGGATCCAACACCCTCTTTAGGCCTCTGAAAGCACTGCATGCACATGGTGCACATACATATATGCAGGCAAAACACTCATACACAAAATAAAAAAAGTAAATAAAATCCTAGATTTAAAAAAGTATCCAGTTAAGTGTAAAAAGGGGGTAGTTAAATGGTAGGGGTGGGGGAGAAGGAGGGCTATACAAAGAGCTATGGGAATAAAGGGAAGAAGGAGATCAAGAGAGGTGGGACCATAGCAGACAGAAATTATCAAGGGAGAAATGAGGAAAATGGGGACACTTTAAATGGGGAGGGCGGGAGGGAGGATAACACAGGGAGAGAAATAGGATAGATAAATAGCGACTAGCTAGTAACTTCTGTGGCATTGCATGACATGGGTGCACTCACATACATGCAGGCAATACATCCTTACACATAAAATAAAAATAATAAATAAAAAAAATATTAAAAAACAAGAGGAAATTGTATTAGTCCAAAAACCTACTGGAAAATTACACATATCTCTACATGAGTGTGTGAGTATAGGTGAAGATTACATAACAAGAAACAGTGTCAGACAGGAGAAACCTTTCTTTGAGTTGTTGGCCAGGGTAGCCCAAGAGACTCCCAAAATTATACAGGCTACTGGTACAGCCCTTGATTGCCTTCCAGAACTTGATGGTAAGATCCTATTGCTGAAGACAGGACATACTTTGGACACAGGATTTGGAGCAATGGAGCTAGAACTGTCCTAGAAGCTACCTCCCCTGAAGGCTAGCTCTCATAACTTTGGAGAGCACTACGCAAGCTGCTAAGGGAGAACATCAATCAATGGTCCAGCCCAGCTTCAAAACCACATCAGTGACCAGCACAGCAAACAACATTGGTGCAGAAGTGGCACTTTTATCTTGGAGGTTATCAACAGCTACCTAATTGGACTTAAAGCCCACTCAATGGGAAGAAACTCATGTGTGGTACTGTAAACCTAGCCAAATGCACATAGCTGGAGAGGTCATAGATCTTAGAGAAAACAAGGCTGTCACAGAATTCCACAACTGGTCATACACAGATTGTCTTTGAATTGCCCAAGTCTAAGTGGCACATCTAGGATGCAACCTCTACACCCAAGCCTCATGGAACATAGAATAAGGGATGAAGAGAACACTAATGCCATCTTTCAACTCTCATCAGTGAAGCACCCTCAAGCAGCAGAGGTCCAGGAACACAAAAGGTCACAAATGGGCTAAAATGCAGAGAATAACAGTCTGCAGAGTATGGGTTATTGGACAGGACTCCTATATTAAAATCCACCCACCCAGGGATCAGGGACCATTGTGGAAGAGGGGGCGGGAAGACTAGGAGCCAGGGAGGTGGGGCATGACCATATGGAAATAGTCCTACAGGTGCCTGGGACCTTCTCATACAAACTTACAGTAATGGTGTCAGTATGCACAAGACCCATGTAAACTTAAGCAGACAAAAACCCAGCATAGAACGGTGGAAATGAACAGCAGGTCCCAGTCTTAGTCGAAGAGTTATTGACAGCTGATTACTGCTGGGTGAGGAAGAGGTGATCTTCTTAATGGGAAGAACTCTTGATAGGCTGACTAGATCCCAGGGGATGAACTTGCACTGAGGGACATCAGGGGACACTAACTTTACATGATAGGCCTTAACACAAATGACAGAATGTATGAACTTCAGTTGAGGGGTGCCAAAGGGGAGTGGGGGGGAAAGATGGTTTTCTGTATTTAATACACAAGAATCCAGTTAAAAAATTAAAAAAACCAAAAAGTATCAGAGCCAGGGCCTTGTATTTATTTTTATTTATGTATTTATTTTTTAAAGACAGGATCTCCCAGTAGCCCCAGTTGGCCTAAAACTCTATGTAGACCAAGCTGGTCTCAATCTCACAGAGATCCTCCTGCCTTTGCCTCCTGTGTGCTGGGATTAAAGGCATGTGCCACCACACTTGGCCCCCAAGGCTTTTTTAAAACATTTTATAAGAGTATCTTTTTTTTTTTCTTTCCAGCACATCCTTAACAAGAAGCAGAAAATTTTATCAGGGGCTGAGAGTATATGAAAAATATCTCTTGGTTACATCATCTGTTACTGTCATAAAGGCTAGATTCTTCTCTCAGAGTTTAACCTCTGATTGTAACTTGTTTCAAAAGATAGCATCTAATCCATTGATTTCTTTACTCCCTTTCCTACTAACAATACTTATTTATTCTTGCTTTTTTTTTTTTTTTGTCTTTTTGAGACAGGGTCTCTCTATAGCCCTAGCTGACCTAGAACTCACTAGTAGACCAGGCTGGTATTGAACTCACAGAGATCTGTCTGCCTCCCAAGTGCTGGTATCAGCGGTGGGTGCCACAACGCCCATTCTTGATCTTAACTTCACCCAGGAAGAAATTTTTTTGAATATTACTTTCTTTTTCCAGCTCTAAGAAAGGCTATAATTGGTTTAGGCTAGTGGTTTTCATAGCCCGAAAAGCAATGTATTTGTGTCTAGTAAGAGAGCCTGTATCTTTTGGGAATTGACTGGAGGCAGTTGATTTGAGTATTCCAGGCAAGTGCTTTACCATTGAGCCACATCCTCAGCTCCCTCGCTGTGTAGTGTTTTGTTTTTTTTTTTAATTTGTTTAAATTATGTGTTTGTGTTGGGGAATAGGGAGGCTTGTATGTGTACATGAGTGCAGGTGCCCTTGAGGTCCAGAAGAAAGCACTGGACACCTGCAGTTGGGGTAATAGGTGTTTGTGAGTTGCCTAACATGGGTGTTGGAAACTGAACTTAAGTCTTCTTGCAAGAGCAATATGTGCCCTTACTGTTAAGTCCTCTTTCCAGTTCCCTCATTGTATAGTTTTATATTTGATAAAGAATTAGAAATTTTCTCTATAGTTTAAGACTGGAAATCTATGGTTGCTAAGGGGTGTGGGGGGCCAGTTTTTTTAGACAGGATCTCAGTGTGTAGCTGAGGCTGGACTTGAACTGATGATCTTCCTGCTTTAGATTCCTAAGTGCTTTGATTGTAGGATTGTAGGTGTACACCACACCTGGCTTTAGGTACTGAGATTTTTTTTTTCTTAAATACTCCTGAATCCCCTTTCTATATAATACGTACTTGAAATAGGGTATGCTATCGAATACCTCACTAAAATAAGAAAGACCACGTGATGTCTTTCATTTGTTGTTTTTTTTGTTTGTTTTTGAGACAGGGTCTTGTTAGGTAGTGCAGATTGGCCTTGAAATTGTGATGTACTTGCCTTAGTCTCTCGTGCCATGTACCCAGTGAATTTTTGTTTTTTAGATAAATTTTCAAAATAGAGCAAATTTGAAAAGTAAATCACTAACTCTATAGTAAATAGATGGTACAGTTGTAAATCTTTTTTGTCTTTTTTTTTTTTTCTGGAGCTGAGGACTGAACCCAGGGCCTTGCGCTTGCTAGGCAAGCGCTCTACCTCTGAGCTAAATCTCCAGCCCCAGCAGTTGTAAATCTTTTAAGGCATATAAACAAGGATATTTTAGATATAATATATGTAACTCCTTTAAAATATGAATATATAGGACTTACAAAATTTCATATAAGACACCTTCAGTGACTACATAAGAAACTAAGGCCAAAGTCGCCAAGCTCATTAGCATCAAAGAAGTAAAGTCTTTTCTGGGTGACTTAGTACCTTTTTTTTTTTTTTTTTTTTCCCCCCGTTCCGTTTTGTTGAGACAGGATCTCCTTGTAGCCCCAGCTGACCTGGAGCTCACTATGTAGATTAGGCTGGCCATGAACTCACAGAGATCCCCCTGCCTCTGCCTCCCAGTGCTGGGACTAAAGGTGTGCACCACCATGCCCTGCATGACCTAGTACTTTTTTTTTTTCCTCTTTCAGACGTTTCCATTAAGAATTTCAGATACAGCCAGGCGTGGGGGCTTGTGCCTTTAGTCCCAGCACTTGGGAGGCAGAGGCAGGTAGATCTTGTGAGTTCAAGGACAGCCTGGCTCCAGGCCAACCAGAGCTGTACAATGAGACCTTGGTTTTTTTTTTGTTTGTTTGTTTGTTTTGTTTTTTTAAAGAAGAAACCCAGATGTTGGGAGCTGGGGAGATGGCTCAATTATTAAAGTGCTTGGTTCATAAGCATGAGGATCTGAGTTCAGATCCCCAGTACCCACACTAAAAGGTCAGGTGTGTGGGCATGTGCTTGTAATCCTAGTGCTGGTGAGGCAGAAACAGGAGAATCACAGGGTTGGTGGCCAGCCAATCTAGCCAAGTCAGTAAGTTTCAGGTTCAGTGAAAAACTCTCAAGAAAATGTGGTGGAGAGCAATTAAGGAAGGCATCCAATATTGACCTCTGATCTCCACATACATGTGTGTAAATGCCTCACTACCACATGTATACATGCCTACATCCATACAACAACTTCAAATGTCCCTTAAGCCACCACCCCCCTGCCTCTGTATGCCAAGTATACCATCCTATCTGGCTTTTATTTTCAAACTCTTTCCAATAAAGTCACTGCTCAGAATGTTACTACCTTATTTATTGGAAATACCTCAATTCCTTTCTTTTCTTCTCCCTCTGAACTCTGTAAGGATTTGAGAATACTAAATGAGAAATCAATTATAGTTTAATTTGTATTTTTGTAGTAATGGTTGATTGAGCTATAATTCAATTACTGTAAAATTCAAACTTTTAAAGTATAAGATTCAACCAGGAGTGGTAATGCACGCCTTTAATCTCAATATTTGGGAGGCAGAGGCAGGTAGGTCTCTGTGAGTTCAAGGCCAGCCTGGTCTATATAGTGAGTTACAAGCCAGCCAGTGCTACATAGTAAGACCCTGTCCCAAAAATTAATTAATTAATTAATTAATTGATCGATTGATTAATACACTGGAAAGATGATGCAGCAGTTAAGAGCACTGGTTTCTTTTGCAGAGGACCCAGGTTCAGTTCCCAGCACCCACATAGCAGCTAACAACCAACAGTAACTCCAGTTCCAGGGGGGGTCTGATGCCCTCTTCTGGCCTCCATGGGCATTGCACACACTTCGTGCACCTACATGCAGGAAAAGCACGCATACATAAAATAAACATAAATTTAAAAAATAGATTGTATCAGATTCAGTGAGGTTAATATTATATTCATAGAGTTGTGCAGCTAATACCACCTGCTAATTCCAAAGCATTTTCATCACCCAAAGATTTATGCCTGTTACCTCTCCTTCTCCGGTCTCCCCTCTCCCCAGATCTTAGCAACCATTATCCACTTTCACTGTTTTTGGATTGTTTGTTCTGAATATTTCATGTACATGAAATCATACAGTATGTAGCCTTTTTTGTGTCTGACTTCTTCCACTAAGCCTGTGTTTTCAAAGGTCATGTGTCAACACATTTTTTTTGTTGTTGTTATTTTATTTTTGAGACAGTCTCCCTGTAGCTAGCCTAGAACTCACTATGTAGACTAAGCTGGCCTTGAACTCAGAGATCCGCCTGCCTCTGCCTCCAGAGTGCTGGGATTAAAGGTGTAAGCCACCATTCCCAGCTTAATTATTTTTTTTAATATTTTGTTTATTAGTTTCATTTTATGTGTATGAGTGTATTTCCTGCATGTATGTAAGTGCACCCATGTAGTGCAGTGCCCCAAGGTCAAAAGAGGTCATTGGATTGCCCTGGAACTGGAATTACAGACAGTCATTAACCACCACGTGGGTGCTGGGAATAGAACCTGGGTCCTCTGCAAGAGCAGCCAGTGCTCTTAACCACTGAGCCATCTCTTCAACCCCATTATTCCTTTTTCTAAAGATATTTTTATTATTTATTATTATATGTGTATGAGTGTATTGCCTGCATTTGTGTAAAAGTGGACCCATGTTGTGCAGTGCCTGTAGAGGTCAGAAGAGGGTGTTGGGTCCCCTGGAACTAGAGTTATGGATGATTGTTATCTGCCATGTGGGTGCTGGGACTTGAACCTGGGTCATCTACAAGAACAGCCAGTGCTCTTAACTACTCAGCTATCTCTCCAGCCCTACTTCATTATTCTTTATTGATGAATAGTGTTCAGTTATATGAATATATAATACTTTTTATATATCCATAGAGTTGATTTCAGATTTTGGTGATTATAAATATTGTTTCTATGAACATTTCTACCATGTTTTATATGAACATATGTATCTGGTGCTTTTCTCTATCAGTAGAATTCCTAGGTCATATAGCAACTTTTAAACTTTTCTTTAACTTCCCAACCTTTCTGTGATATCTGCACAATTATACATTCCTACCAGCAGTGTTTGAGAACTGAAATTTCTCCACCACCCTTACCATCACTTATTTCTTGTCTTGCTCTTCCTCTCCCTGTCCTCCCATGGTCTCCCTTCATGATATGCAAGCACTCTCACTGAGCTACAGTTTCTCAAGTGCAGGAATTACAAGTGTAAGCCACACCAGGCTCCCGTTTCTGTTTTCAGTTTAGTTTTTTTTTTTCTTTTTTTTTCTTTTTTTTTCTTTTTTTTTCTTTTTTTTTGAGACAGAATCTCACTGTGTAGCCTTGGCTGGCCTGGAACTTGCTGTATCAACCAGACTGGCCTTGGATTTGTACTATCACATCCAGCTCCTTTTCCTCTTTCTTCCTTTCTTTCTTTCTTTCTTTCTTTCTTTCTTTCTTTCTTTCTTCCTTCCTTCCTTCCTTCCTTCCTTCCTTTCTTTCTTTCTTTCCTTCCTTCCTTTCTTTATTTCTCTTTTTCTTTCCTTCTTTCTTTTCTTTGGTAGCTGTTTTGAGAAAGGATCTCACTAATTGGCATTGGATATCCTAAATGCTGGGATTAAAGGCATGCACCTTCACCCTTGGCTCCAGTGATTTCTTCCAGCTTCAAACAAACTTCATCTGTTTCTCTTGCTTTCTTTTCTTTCTTTTGGTTTTCATAGAGCTCAGGCTGGTCTTTGAACTTCTGATCCTACTGTGTCCACTTCCCCAGTGCTGAGTTTACAGGTATGTGCCCCACTATGCTCTGTTTATACAGTGTTGGGGATCAAATCTAGGGGCTTTCTCACATGCTAGGCAACCACACTACTGATTAAGCTACATCTCCAGCCCTGTTACTTATTTCTATTTTGCCTGTCACTCAGAAAAGATTTTTCTTTTTGGTTTTTTTTGAGGCAGGGTCTCCCTGAAGCCCTAGCTGGCCTGCATTCGCTATGGAGACCAGGCTGGCCTCGAACTCTCAGAGATCCGCCTTGCCTCTGCCTCCCCAGTGCTGGGATTAAAGGCGTGTGCCTGGCCAGGAAAGAATTTTTTGCAATATGATATGAAGTGTAAAACATTCCTCCCTGTTACCTCAGCCAGTCTGAAGAGATCCGCCTGCCTCTGACTCCCAACTTCTGGGATTAAACACACCCAGCCTTGATTTTTGGTTTTATCACACATGTGTAAGTTCTGACATTTGCTAGGTCCTAGGCAAAGAATAATCTTTCAATATTAAGTACTTGGATTAGAGAGAATGGTTCAGTGGGTAAAACGCTTACTCTACAAGTTTGAGGACCAAGTTTAAATCTCCAGAACCTATGTAAAACCAGGTACAATAGTATGTGTCTAACCCTGGTGCTCCTACAGTGAAATGGAAGGGAAGATGGGAGAATCCCCTGAAGCTCACAGGGCAGCTAGCCTGGCTTACATGGCAGCAAACAACAAAGAGATTGTTTCAAGCACAGTAGAAGGTGAGGAATGACACTTGAGCTTGTGTTCTGACCTCCACATATGTATTGTGGCATGTGCATGCCTGTGCTTACACACAAATGTGTGCATGCAAACACATGCAAACGTACATCAAACACACATCATACAATTTTATTTTAATTAACTACTCATAATATCCTCTTCATTTAACATTGTGGTTTATCTGTACCCTCAAATACCTTCTGTTTAATAATTAAATGGAATGAGAACAGAGGCGGTAGTTTCCAGGTTCTAGTCACTGACTTTGACTTTAAATATTATAATATTAAAAGCCAGGCATGGTGGCACAAGGCTTTAGTCCCAGCACTCAGGAGGCAGAGGCGGGCGGATCTCTGTGAGTTCAAGGCCAGCCTGGTCTACATAGTGAGTTCCAGGCCAGCTGGGGTTACAGGGAGACCCTGTGTCAAAAAGACCAAAAAGAAAAGAAAAAAATGTTATAGTTATATATATATTAAGCATTATTATATATTATGATATTAAACAGTGCTGACTAGTCTAAATTTCTATTCTTAAATGAATAATGGTTGTCATCCTCTGTCTATCCTTCTATCCATCCAGTGCCTTTTCTTAAAGTCAGTACCATTGGAGATAGGGTGGGACTGCTTAATTTGGTTAAAAAAAAAAATGGTGGCAGCTATAAGTAATTGTTTTGGGATTTGGTGCTTTGGACTGAAAGGTGTATTTATTTGTTGTGTTTTATTTATTTATTTTTTTGACACAGAGCCTTGCTGTAAAGTCCAGGCTATCCTCAAGCTCACAGTGCTTCTCCGGCTTGAGTCTTCCTAATGATGGAATTACTGACATGTGCTACCATATCCAATTTAAAGGGTACTTTCAAAAAGGAAACTCTTAGAAAATATTTCAAAACAACGTAGTAAGAGCCAGGCAAGGTGGCACCTGCATGTAATCCTGGCACTCATGAGTCTGAGGTAGGAAGATCTTGACTTTGAAACCAGCTTGAGCTATATAACCAGATCTTACCTGAGAAACAACCAAACAATCTCCCACTCCCAAAACAAAAACAAAGTACTAAGCTGTACTACATCATAAACTAAAAAACATTATTCTAACCAGGCTTGATGGCACATGTCTTTAATCCAGAACTCAGAAAACTGAGATAAGAGGATCATGAGTTCAAGTCTAGTCTGGGCTATTAAGACCCTTTCTGAAAATCAGAACAAGACAAAATAAAACCAGTCAGTGTGAAACTTTGTTATTGTTGCTGTTTTATTGAGACAGGGTCTCACTGTTACAGCCCAGGCTAACTTGAAACTCACTATATAGCCCAGGCTGGCCTTGAACTTAAGGTAATTAACCCTTCCTAGTCCTGGGATGATAGATATGCATCACCATTTCTGGCTTAAGGCCAAAGCTTTAAGAATTGAATTGACAGGTTAGAGAGATGGTTCAGCCAATAAGAGCACTTGTAGAAGACTCTAGTTTGGTTCCTGGCATCCATATTGGGCAGCCCACAGATGTCTGTAACTCCAGTTCCATGGGATCCAGTGCCCCCTTCTATCCTCTCTGGGCACTTGCACACATGTGGCAAACATATGCACTCAGGTCTATACACAAATGTTTAAAAATAAAAAAATCTGTAGAGATAGAAAATAGGCTGTTGGCTGCCTGGTGCTAGAGGGAGGACAAGAGATCTCTGAAGTGATAGCAGTCTCTTAAGATTGAAAAGTTGTAATGGTTGCACAACTCTATAAAGCTATTTACAAATTATTGTATACTTTGAGAAAAAAATCTCTTATGATTTCAATTAGGTCTTTTAAGATCCCATTGAATCTAATGATAATTGTTTTTCTCTAAACATATTTTTAGTTTTTATTTTGTTTAGTTTTACAAACTAAATCATTGAGTTAGTATTTTGTATGATTTCCTTCTGTGTCCTGTTGTTGTAGCTCTCCATCCTGTTGAAAAACCAAGATGATCTTGATAAAGCTATTGACATTTTGGATAGAAGTTCAACCATGAAAAGCCTTAGGATATTGCTGTTATCCCAGGACAGAAACCATGTAAGTAGCTCCTTGTCATGGCCCAGCAACTGAAGACAAAGCCTATGTTCCTTCAGTCTTGCCTTTCTTACCTAACAGAATTTTGTGTTTCTTAGCCACTGCCAAAATGAGAGTATGAAGTTCAGCCCAGACGTGTTAGTAATAAGTGAGCCTTCTGCATTTGATTTCACTGGAAGCCAGATTGTCAGGGTCAGTTATAAAGAAGGTTATTTGGCTAATTGTGCAAGAGGAAGGAAAATACTTTGTGATAAAGGAGAAATTTTTTTTCTGCATCTATGTATGTTCCTTCAATTAGATTTTGACCCCACCAAGAGAGAGATGCTTAGTGTAGGGGTTAGCAAAGGCTTCCAAGAATTTGAGGATATTTATGTTTTATGAACCCAACTCCCACAACTCACTAGCTTTCCCTTGCCTTTGAGATACATGGGAAATGCACTTTTTCTCCTGTTCATTGGAAAAAATGATTATGGTTGGAGGGCTGCTTGCATCCTTTACCATGTGTCAGAGAATTACCTCTTACCCAGTTTCCCCTATGGACTTGTCCCTCAGGGCATACATTTTGTGAGAATGCTTGAATCTTGACCTGTACTCTTAATCACTGAGTTCCCTACCAGTTTTCAGATGCATGTGGTTGAAGATTTTTTGGCACCCTTTTCTTTCCTTATAATTAAAGACAACTTGCCAGGTGTGGTGGCGCACGCCTTTAGTCCCAGCACTAGGGAGGCAGAGGCAGGCGGATCTCTGTGAGTTCAAGGCCAGCCTGGTCTACATAGTGACTCCAGGACAGCTGGGGCTACAGGGAGACCCTGTCTCAAAAAGACCAAAAAAAAAAAAAAAAAAAGTATAATTAAAGACCAACTGTCTCTGAACAGCTAGGATGATTATATGAGAACTCTGGACATACCATACCAGAATAGAGTTTAGATGGACTAGCCCTCCTGCTGCCCATTTATTTTTTCAAAGATGATTTCAGGGTTGTACTGAACTAGTGATATGAGGGAGAATGCAGCTAAAAAAACTATATATTAAAGATGTCTTCCTCTAATATTACAGAAATGCAATATTACAAAGAGAAGTCTGCCTGATCCCAAATACTTTGGGAAGTATTCTGAAGTAGATATATACCATTTCATTTTTATGTTCAAGTTACTCACCTGCTTCTTACTGTCCTTCCTTACTTATCATGTAAGATCTATATTTTAAAGTTAGAAGGTCAGTATACATTTTTATGGAGTTTAAAAGCAAAGCATTTTACTTGATCCTATCACCATAACACATTTATTGGTTTAGAGGTTTGCATGTACCTCTTCAGATTTTGGCCTGGTGTATACATACTTTATGTAAATGATATCAATGCTATGCCTTCCAAGTCTCTAACATATTTTTTACTTACTATCGTTATGAACGTATTATCCCTTTTTTTTTGGTCTTTTTGAGACAGGGTCTCTCTGTGCTGGGATTAGACGCATGCACCACCACGCCCAGCAAACATACTGTTCTTATACCTAATCTTTATAGTTATAATTTATAATGATGCATAATTCCCTTGACTAGATATACCATAATTGCATATATAACCCTTTACTTTATTTGAAAAAAAAATTTTTTTTTTTGGTCTTTTTGAGACAGGGACTTCCTATAGCCCCAACTAGCCTGGAACTTGCTATGTAGTCCTGGCTGGCCTCGATCTCATAGAGATCTGCCTGCTTCTGCCAGCCGAGTACTTATATTAAAGCTGTGTGCCTCCATACCAGGCAGTGCAGTCTTTCTGTAATGGCTTCCTTAACTGAACCAAGACTTCTTAATAAACAAAAGAATTGTGATTAAAAAAAAAAAAAAGTTACTTCGTGCTCAGGAATCCTCACATCTAAGACCTTGCTTCTCTTAACAATCTATGATGAAATGTCAGTTTGGGGGCTGGGAAGATGGCTCAGGTAAAGTGCTTGCCATTCAACTACAAGGACTTGAGTTCAGGTCCTCAGACCATGTGAAAAAAAGTCAGGCATGGCACTATGTACCTATAACCTTACTGTTGGGAGACCAGAGACAGGTGAATCCCAGAAGCTCACTGCCCAGCCAGCCTAGTCAAATCAGATTCAAAGAGAAACCCTATCTCAAATAAAAAGTGGAGTGGGTGAGTTGGCTTGGTAGGTAAAGGTGCTTGCCACCAAGCCTCATAACCTGAGTTCAGTTCCCCAGGATCCATATGGTGAAAAGAGAGAATTTACTTCCAGAAGTTGTCCTCTGACACCATGGCATGCAAACTCCCTCGCACATACACATACACACAAAATAATTTTTTTTAAGTCAAAAAGAAATAAAAGTGGAGGGTGGCAACATATCTCAGGAGGTAAAGGTACTTACTGCCAAACCTGGTGACCTGAGTTTGATTCCTGGAGCCCACATTACTGATACAAGTTATCCTCTGACCTCTACACATACACACATGTAAACAAGTGAATGGTTTTAAGGAAGGAAGGAAGGTGGACAGTGATCAAGGAAAGACACCCACTATCAACCCTCAGCCTCCATATGCATGCACACGTCCACACTAACAAGTATATACCAAGAAAAATGAAGTAGCAGTTTTGTTCTTTTATTTTCCTACTTTTCATGAACCATTTTTTTTAAATATGAAAAGTGAAATGTAAAAATAAACTGGATGGACTGAGGCTTGTAGCTAGCTGAGTAATAGAGCACTTGTGCAGGCACTTGTGTGACCCCTAGCACCACCCAAATAGAAAAAAAATGAATACTTATAAACTATAAACCTCTAGTTTGTATTGTTATATTCAGTAGATACAAAGTTTTGCTTCCAAATTGTTGTAAATTTTCTCAAGGATTGCTTTCCATCTCTGACATTACCTGATGGAGGACTAGTATGCTACCTGTTGGTGGACTGGCACCAGACCAGTGATGATACATGAAGTACACTGTTCCAGGATACTGTATCATCTGGTCTTCAGTTCCTGTCACTGATAAATGTTGGCTACTTTGCTGCTCCTCTTTTAATCTTCATTTTTAGCAGTTGCCTCATCTACTTTTGTTACTACGTATTCTCTCTTGCCCTCCCTCACTCCCTCTTTATCTTGAGATGGTCTCTAGCTCAGGCTTAGTTGGAACTCACTGTGTAGCTGAGGATGACCTTAAACTTTTATTATTTATTTTTATTTTATATGTATGAGTGTTTTATTTGCATGTATATAAGTACATCTGTGCTGTATAAAACCCACAGAGGCCAGAAGAGGGCAGGGGATCCCCTAGAACTGGAGTTATACTGTTTTTAGCTAACATGTGGGTGCTGGGAATCAAAGCCCAGTCCTCTGCAAGTGCAACCAGTGCTCTTAACTGCTGAGCAATCTCTTTATACGTATGAGTGTTTTGTCTGTATGTATGTACATGCCCCTGTGTCATACAATGCCCAGAGACCTGAGAGGGTGTCAGATCCCCTGGAACTGGAGTTATAGACAGTTGTTAGCTGCCATATGGGTGCTGGGAACCAAACCTGGGTCGTCTGGAAGAGCGGTCAATGTTCCTAACCACTGAGCCACTTTCCAGCCTCAGACCTTGAACTTCTCGAGCCTACAGTTTCCACCTTCTGAGTGCTGTTGCAGGTGTGCACCACCATGCCCAGTTTTACATGGTGCTAAGGCTTTTTGCAAGCACTTTACCAACCGAGCTTTTAGACTTTAAAGCTGAATGTTTAGAGTATATGTTCTTTGATACATTTCAAATTCATGCTGCCAAGATTTGGTGAATTCCCACTATGTGAAAGGTCTTGCGTCTAAGCACGTGACCTTGGGGACTCATGCAGCTCTTTCCCTAACTGCAGGGCTGAAGCCCCTCCTTGCCCTTCCCCAGTATGTGGGTTTGGCTGTTTTTTCCTTTCTGACTCTCAGCAGAGAGCTATTGCACATCTGAGACTTCAGCAAGAACGTTCACTTCCCCTTGTTTCTGACTTCCTGTTAGAGCAAGGCAGTTTGTCAAGACAGCCCTACATGTGATAAAGTCTGGCATGGGGAGACTAGAGAAGGCTGTCTGGCAGCTGAATTTGCCCCTGAAAGTGGGAAGCCTTTTTCCTGAAGGACAGGATATAGAAATTGTTTATATGGGATTTTTTTTTCTTTTTAAAAATATTTTATTATTTTGATTTTGTGTGTTAGTGTATTGCCTGCATGTAAGTGCACCGTGTTGTGCAGTGCCTGCGGAGGTCAGATCCCCTGGAACTGGAGTTAGGGATGGTGGTTAGCCACCATGTGGGTGTTGGGAATCAAACCCGGGTCCTCAGCAAGAGCAGCCACATTTTTTTCTTAATGGGAGCTGGAAGAGATACAGAGCAACAAGAAGAAGATTTTCCCCAAACTGTAGCTGAATCCTGAGTTCACTCTGAGGTGCTCTGCTTACTTTGTTTTTTGTCACATCCTGGTATCACTTGCTTACCTTTGGTGTGTTCAGTTTTAAGCTTTCTCAGTGTAATGGCTACACATTCACACCCTTCTCCCATTATTTTGATTTTTTCACCTGGTGGCTCCCCTGGGTTAGTGCAAAGGTGAGTGCAAGGTGGCTACCGACCCTGTTCTGAGGTCCTTGACCTCCAGCTGAATGGAGCCTTGACAGATTTTCCCAGTTGAGCATGATCCTGAGATATGATACATAATGAGCCCTGATACTTTGAAGTGGCTGAGATCTTCTTCCTGTAATTTTTAGGGAATGATTATGTTTGTTTGGGAAGTGGCATATTGAGCTCTGTGTGTGTGCGTGTGTGTGTGTGTGTGTGTGCGTGCGTGCGTGCGTGCGTGCGTGTGTGCGTGCGTGCGTGCGTGCGCGCGCACAAGTGTACAGAGGCCAGAGGAGTACGTCTGGTTTCCTGCTCTGTCATACTCCATTTTATTTCTTTGAAATAGGGTCTCTCACTGAACCTGGAGCTAGGCTAGTTGCCAGCAAGCCCTAGCACTCCTGTCTGCATCCCCCTCATCCCCAATTCTGGGGTTGCAGGTGCACACATGACCATGTCTGACTCTTTCCATGGGTACTGGAATCAAATTCAGGTACTTAGGCTGGCATAGCAAGCACTCTTACTTACTGAGCTATCTCTTCAATCTCCCGAGCTACTTTTTGAAGTACGTAATTAGCCAAGCATCGTAATACATGCTTACATTCTAAGTATTTAGTCATGCATCTGAGGCAGGAAGATCCTAAGTTCAAGGCCAACTTGGGATACCTAATAAGACCTTATCGCAAAAAGGAAAAACGTGGGGCTGGAGAGTTGGCCCAGAGGTTAAGAGCACTTGCTACTCTTAGGTTCCCAGCACCCACATGGTGACTCACAACTGTCTGTAACTCCAGTTCTCATGGTTCCAGCACCCTCTTCTGACTTCTGTGTACACATGTGGTACACATACGTACATGCATGCAAACACTCATACACATAATTTTTTAAAAATTTTGTGGGGCAGGGAAGTTGTCGTCATTGTCTCTTCTGTCTCCCTCTCAGCAGGTGATCTTACTGCTGAAATAATTTCCTGCAATTCTTTCTAAGCTCACTGGAGAATTTTATGAGAGGGTATTTGCTGCTCTTTCCTTGGCAGATTATTGAAGGAATGACTGTTATTTTTCTGTGTATGGGTCATCACTCATTAAAGTGGGGCATCAGGTTTTAGTGCTTATATATCATTGAAGCTGTAAAACTACATCAAGCAAATACTGATTATGGGTTGAGCTTTGGGGAAAAGCCCAGTAGCTTATCTATTAAAAGTATGAAGGTAGCTGAGTGTAAGGAGTCCTAAGGAAAGGCTAAGAGCATTTATCGACCTGTCTATGTAAAGATCTGGCTCATCTTTTTTCTCTTTTCTTACAGACCAGTTCCTCTCCCCACTCTGGGGTGTCCAGGCAGGTGCGGATCAAGGCTTCCCAGTCCGCAGGGGATATAAATACCATCTACCAAGCCTCTGAACCCAGAAGCAGGCACCTCTCTGTCAGTGAGTATTGCACGCCTTTTCTTCCTCATCCTAGCTTATTGGATGTGCTTATATTTAAAATATTGAACATCTCGCTGGGTGTGGTGGTGCACGCCTTTAGTCCCAGCACTCGGGAGGCAGAGGCTGGCAGATCTCTGTGAGTTCAAGGCCATTTTAAAAGTGTAGTGACCCTTGTGTTAGATATTTGTGCTTGCCCTTCTAAGAACTCTACTTAAAACCAAGATATTTCTGATCTTCCTAAAATTTAGCTGTTCAAGATTGTAATCTTCATTTTCCTAATAAAGCAGTTATTTAACTTAAAAAAAAAAAAGAAGATAGCCGGGCATGGTGGCGCACGCCCTTAATCCCAGTACTCAGGAGCCAGAGACAGGCGGATCTCTGTGAGTTCAAGGCCAGCCTGGTCTACATAGTGAGTTCCAGGACATCTGGGGCTACAGGGAGATCCTGTCTCAAAAAGACAAAAAACAAATCAAATCTATTAAACAGACATTAAATACATATTGACTGTTACTCTGTGCAGAGTAATACTCTTCTTTATTTGGGAAGGAGGAGTGATGAAATAACTGGAATAGTATCTTGACCTTTGAGAATCATACAATATTATGATAATGGCACGATTAATTTTTTTTTTTTTTTGGTCTTTGAGACAGGGTCTCTCTGTAGACCTAGCTGGCCTGGAACTCACCATGTAGACCAAGCTGGCCTTGAACTCACAGAGATGCGCCTGCCTCGCCTGCCTCTGCCTCCCGAGTGCTGGGATTAAAGGCGTGCACCACCACGCCTGGCTTAAATTTCCTTTTTTTATATATTTTATTTATTCTTTTTATTTTATGTGTATGAGTGTATTGCCTGCATGTATGTATATGAGTGCACCTGTGTCATGCAATGCCACGGAGGTCAGAAGAGGGCTTCGGATTCCCTTGGAACTTGAATTAAGGATGGATCATAGCCACCATGTGGGTGCTGGGAATCGAACCCAGGTTCTCTGCAAGGGTAGTCAGTGCTCTTAACCGCTGAGCCATCTCTCTAGCCCCTTTTAAACATTCCTGAGAGGGTGATCTCTTCAGACATCTAAGACTTCCAGTGGAGTCCCATTTTTTACTATTCTTTTCCCAAAGGACAGGAGACTCACATTTAGGAACCAGGTCTACACTTGTTTTGACTGCAGACTTTTTGCTTATGATTCCTGAGAAACACTTGTGCTTGGTGGAAGATGCTGGCCAGTGAAACTCTTGGAAAGTCAAACTAAGTTGACTGAGGATTCCCAGTCAGAGCATTAAAATAATATCTACAATTGAGTAACTAGCAAGAAAATTATATTACTGCTTCCAGGCTTCCCTAGGAAAGGACTAAATCATAAATCGGTCCTTTGCATTATATACCAGATACTACAATATTCCTCTAGCTACTCTTTCTCAGAGTCTGAGGAAGAAGCCCACTTCTTAATTGTGGAATTTGTATTGAGAGAAATCTGGGGGCACAGAGATGGCTCCACAGTAAACTCCTAAGAGCACCAGTGTTTGGTTCTTAGCACCCACGTTGGGTGGCTTGAAACTGCCTGTTACTCCAGCTCCAAGGGTTCCAATTTCTTCTTCTGGCCTCCATAGGCACTACATTTATGTACACATACCCATACACAAACACGCATACACATATGATCAGAAATAAAACATAACATTAAAAAGACAGTGAGAAAGAAATCTGACCTTATCAAACATTTGTGTTTGCCTACTGTTCTAATGTTTCTTAGACCCCTGCAGCCACTAGGAAGTCAAGTTTTCCCTTTCCATATGAGTAGAACTGCATCAAATTGAGGTGTTCTCTGAGGATCCTGAGCTGAGTTTGGGGGATGTGAACCTTGTTCCTGCTGTTGAACCTGTCTTTGAGTGATACACCTCCTGAGAGAGTGGCAGGAAAACTGGTTTCCTGGGGCACTGACTTTGTCCTACTGAGTAAATTCTGGAACTGAAGCACTCATACTAGATGTTTCCAAAGTGAATGTTTGTATCCAAATGAATTTCAGATTTAAATCAATAATTGGTGGATATATTTTCATAAACTAGTTGAAGAGAGAGAGCCAGTACTCCAGCAAAGGCCCTGTGCAGAAATATCCCTAAATTTGAGTTTCACAGGCCAGCCTGTGAAATTGCCAACTTGGCTCATTTTCAAAGCCTTAAAAAAATACTGTTTAGAACATTGTAGCAACCAGCATAAAATCATAAATGTATGTAACAATATTTCTGCAGGATAGCAAGTAATAAGTAACATAATTTCAGTGAGATAGAAATAGGTAAGTCAGCCGGGCATGGTGGCACACGCCTTTAATCCCAGCACTTGGGAGGCAGAGGCGGGCG